GCCCGAGAAAGCTCACCAAAGCATGAGGAGTCGGTATCAAAAATATGTGTAAAGAAAATAAACTATCTTTGGATCAAGTTATTTAACAGAATGTTGTGTTAATCTATAGTAATTTATTTAGAAAAGGAAAATTGTACTTTTTATGCAAGACAGGCTTTGGTTGGCTCTTGTTTCAGCACCATTCTCGTGTGACTTGTCAAGTAATAGTAATAAAAAACTGTAACCTTGACTGTTGTGGTGCAATTTCCATTATAAGCCCCACCCCCTGGGTTATAGAGCTCTTCGTAGGTCTACTACAATAGTTTTGCTACCTGCCACCATACATGTGTAAAGCACGAATATCCATGAGTTATGTTACACTTAAAGAAAAATTAGTATGATGACCAACAAAACAAATTATGAAGTGCTACATCTGGTTGTGCCCCTCCATCCTTCCCAGATACAAGCTGCCACCATAACCCAACCCCGCCCCCGCCCGTTCCCCAACCACTAACATCTCAAGGCTTAAGCTGCGAGATTTTACATACAGTAAAGCTTTCTATGCCCGGATAGAGAAGCAAGTTTGAAAAAAATACATTCTTATGACTCTCAAGGCAAATCATTACACTCAAAATAACACTGACAACATTATGCGAAACATCTGAAGTAAATTTATTACACAAAACCTCTCAACGTTCAATTCTTTACACCAAAAATACTTTCCATTTACAAAATTTAGCCTCGACAAATTATATACACGGCAATTGAACTGTACATAAATAAATACTTTGAATTGAATTCTCGTTAATAAATATCATTTTATACGACTGTCATACGCACTGACTATTTGAGTTGTCATTGTTTTGACACACAAATCCTCCACATCTCCATGTGCACAGACTGTCTTGATAACGCCAGCGTCAATCAAGCCACTCTTGACATGCTTGGAAAGCTACACATCTTTAACTTTCTTCAAGAATGATGTTTGTCAGATTAGCCAGAGGAGCGCGTTTCTTCTACAAAGCAAAGTAAACTGTTGAGGTCAGTTAAAGTTCCGAGGTAACGTAAATGTCATATCTCCCTTTGGAGTAGAGCGGGTTTTCAATTGAGTGTCGCAAAACCAAAACCAACCCAGTTACTTACTTTCTTTACTTACGACTACTCAGCCGCCACAACCCCTAACATAAACCGTAGTAAAACCAAAACCATCGTAACTGCCTGATTACTTTCGACACTCAATTGATAATTGCTCTATTCGTAGAGTTAACGATTTATTACACGGTCGATAGGGCAGATAACTAAAGTTAACCAATCAGAATGCCCTATTCAGTATTGTTGATCAATATTTTCTAAGTACTAGACAGGGTAATGCTCAAGCTTGTCTTGTGTGCTCGGAACTCTGTGGAGGTTAGTTTGAACAATTATCCACCGAAGTGGGGTTGAATAGTGGCGTGGTAGATATACACCACTTGCACATACCACAACAAGCTGAATGACTAGCGGACCAAAAATTAGTAGAACGATCGGAAATTTAACTCTTGAAATGTCATTTTGTCTCTTCGGCTGCTCGTAAGTGAATAGTACTTGCTAGTCACTTCTGAGCTACGTACTAACAACAGTGTAACAAGACATATTTATTGTTTAAAAGAGCTCAGTCATGGTATTTTTAGTTATTATGGCCACCTACAAAATAACCTATAAATTGAAGGAAACCTGGAAATAGTAGTTTACTAAGATAGAAAAACGCAAAGAAGATAACAATAAACCATAAAGGAACAAGGATGGTTAGGGAGGGAGAAGATTAACACGGATTGCAAACGATGAATTTGAAAAATTTAGGCGAAAGTTTTCAAGACGCGCAAACCGTGAAATTCCGCTTATTTGAAAGGCTTTTCAAAATTAAGAAGAATGGCATTTTTCTTTTTGAAATATCTTTTTTCTTTCTAGAGATATTTACGTTTTTATATTATGCAAATGAGGAAAGTGTCGACGTCATAAATAGTCCCACTAAATTTGTAAAATACTGAACCAAGAATATCTCTAGAAATATTGGAGAGCTGTTCTTCAAACATGGCACCAGAAATGTACATCACAATTGAAACATAATATGAACAGCACATCAGATTTTAATACCGATACACACACTCTGCCATGGTTTACGCATTTTCTCTAATAAAGGAAAGAGCTAACAAATTTTTCCGAAAAAAAAAACCTCGTTTGGAAGTCAACAAATCAACAATAATTAATTGTGAAAGTAATATATCTGCACTTACTGTGTTTCCCATTGCAGGCAAACTTTTCTTCCCTAAAAGAAAGGAAATTAAGATACTTCCGGGTACAAGTAGCTGTTATACCTTTCTGGGGTTAAGAATCACTTAAAGGTTGTGTTCTCTCAGCCGTTTTGGTCAGAAATAAGGTATCGATTTTGGCCATTTTGGTCTCAAATAGAGTATGGGTTTTTGCATTCTTGTCTTGAATTTGTTTTATTTTTAGAAGCTACTTTTTCATCATTAGCGATAAGACCATCGACATAAGCCCATCACATTGGTCTGAACTAGGTAGCTAATTATAAGGCAGATTTGAAACAGGGTATTTATTTAAGGGTCAGGTCTTGAATGGGGTATCAAATTTTTGGTCAGGTCATAAATAGGGTGGGGAAAAACACAGATTTAGGTCCCAAATAGAGCAAGGGTATTGGAAAGCAGGCCGCACACCCCCATATGATTTTTCAGGGAGTACCCCCCAGGGGTGGATTAACAATGCAAGAAAATCATAAAATGAAGATCAAAACCAAGATGGACTCACTTTTTCGATTGCTTGTCAGGGATTCTTCGCCAAACAATGTGCTGTCAGTAAATGGGTCCCCTCTACGCAGTTTGCTATTGAAATAGAACACACAATGTGTAGTAGGAGAACTCATCATCAAACATTTACACAACAAAGTTAACTTCTGACTCATTTGAGGTAAACAAATTACATTTGATAAAATCTTTGAAAACCCTTCATGATCCTGGCAAGAAGTCAAAAGATCCTTGGAGATTCCAAAGATTCTACGCTAGGATCTTTGGATCATGGGTACTTAATCCATGGTCAAGTGTCGATTGATACCCTTGATTGGCCCTCAGTCCACATCTCAGTCATCACTCGATTCACATATCAATCAACACTTGATCGACATCTTGATTGACACTCAATTGACATCACTGACTGTCAATCGAGTGTTGATCGAGGGTTGGTCTAGTGTTGACCATGTATCGATCAAGATGTCAATTGAGATGTCGATCAAGGGTATCAACCAACACTCGAGAGCAGATGCCTTTAGTACACATGATCTGGATCTTTGAGGATTTTGGTCAAGATCCCTGATAAGATCCTCAACAATCCTTGAAATTCCTTGAGAGACTCTCAAAAATGACACATATTGAGACTAGAGTGGGACTTTGGGTAAAACTGCTGATTTAAGTGTCAAAAATTGTTGTTTTTAGTATGGAGCAGTTAATATTTTTTAGGGAATTTTTATTCTGTAATACTTAAGGAAGATAGGTAGCTAGTTGATTATCATAAATAGACTGATGAAAAAACCATGTATAAAGTTATTGTATTGTATTGTACCAGATCGGACCACCCCCCCCCCCAAGGGGGGTACTCCTAGAAAAATTGGGTGGGTGTGTACGACCCACTTCCCAAAACCCTTACCCTAGTTTAAGACCAAATTCTACAATTTTTCCTACCCTATTTATGACCTGACCAAACCTTTGATACCCTACTTAAGACCTGACCATAAGTCAATACCCTGTTTCAGAACTGCCTTGTAATAATTAGTTCCCTAGTTCAGACCGATGTTTAAGGCAACGTTTGTACATTAGTTAGGATAGCTTCTTCTGAAAAACATATACCAAATTGAAGACTAGAATGAAAAAACCACACCCTATTTGATACGAAAATGGCCAAAATCAATACCTTATTTCCAACCAAAGTGTCTAAAAACCATACCCTTTGGGGTTGCTCATACCTCTATACTCCATGCAAGGGAGTACCCCACGGGGGATCAACCCTCTCAAAAAGAGTTAATACTCCATTTAGCATGCAGATTTATACATGTGGACCACCTGAATGTGAAACTGTATTGAATAACTTTAAGAGGAACAACATTTCACAGAGCTGGGAACAAGAGCTGTATCATACCTGCGAAGGCCTGGTTCCACATAACTGACAGCTGTGCAACTTTTTCTCTTTGCACGTTGACTAGCTCGTTGAGACCGGTTGCCTTCCATTGCTTTTATGTCATTGTTCACCTTCACATCAATGGCTTTTTGTTCTAAATTTAAAAGCAAGAGTGACCACACTTCAGCAGTGAAAAAGATGATAGATATAATGAATAAAATCTTATGCACCACACTGGCTGGAGTTTCATTACGGGTCGGGCACCAGGCAAATTGACCGGCTGTGCGGACAATTTTGCCTGGCTGGTTTGACCATCTAGTGGAAAGTTTTTCTGACAAAGAAGTTCAGTTTTTACAGTTTTGCCCACCTGTGAAAACCAGCTACCCTCCTGCTGGAAATGTTAATGAAATCTCTGAACTGGTTCCAGTGTCCATATTAATGCAGTAAAATTATAAAGGATTATACAGGTTGGGATTTCAGAATGCGGCCATTGGCTGTATGAAAGGGGTAGCCAGGTTAACAGGGTTTTCTTATAAAAAAATCTATGGGTGTTTCACTGCGACAAAACATAATAAACTGGCCATAATAATGAGGTGACCGTAAAGTGGGATTCCACTGTTAATGAAATGTTAATGAAAACCCTGTACTGGTTCAAGGAGTTAGGTAACTGGCCATGGTAGCCCTTAATCCTTAATAAGTGTTAATCTAAAAATGCTTCTATCTTAAAAGCTTATAATGCCTTCTGCGAAAGACTTAAGGTGAACAGTACTTTTTCTGTCCTTGACAGACAATACCCAAAAAAGAAACATGTTTCATCAACAATGCAATGCAAAATAATGGCTAAAGCCATTTGCATGCACTGCACTGCATGCACTGCAGGCCAAGAACACTGGATAATCATTTTACACTGACCCTTGTTCAAGTTGTTCATTATAGTGTCATTGATCTCAATGATAACTGATTGACTTGCTGTGATCTCCATTGCCGATGGCTCATCTGGGGGAGGGGTGGTGCATACAGCATTGGATGCAGGATCTACATATGGGGACACATTGTTGTAGACTAAATGAGGGGATGTGTCTTTCTGCACTTTATTTGGAGTGAGGTAGGACGTGACGAGGTGTAATGCATCTGCCAAAGAGTTGGAGCCTTGAAGGAACTGGTCACAAGTCTGATTCAGGAGCTTGTAGACATCTTGGAATACAGCCTGCACGAACAAAAAAAGGGTAAAGATAAAGTCTGAATACGAGCCAAGTGGCTCATCAGGCTTACCCTGGCTTTAGTAGCATGAAGCGACTAGTAGTATTTCTACTCCCCCCTGGATGGAATGCTAACTAGTCCATTGCAGGGTTACCCTCAGCAATAAATTTGCCCGTACCAATTTATACACCTGGGTGGAGAGAGGCACTGTAAGAGTAAAGTGTCTTGCCCAAAAACACAACACAATGTCCAGACCGCTTGCTCCGAGGTCAAGCACACTAACCATGAGGCCACCACCCCTCCCACTACAAACAAAAACTACATATTAATTTAATATTAATTTTAAATAGAAATGATTAACAGTTATCCTGAAAATTCTCACAGAATATTTCTTGACACTTAGTCAATGAGACCATGTGCTAAGTTAACTATTTAAAATAAACAAATATGCAACTCATTTTGCTCCACAGGACAAAAGAACTGTTTTTGTCATTCAAATAATATTGTCAATGAAATATTATCAGATTTTTTCACAGCTAAAGAAACTGTGATTACACAGTGCTTTACCTGAAAATTATATTACAATATTACAGGAAATCTCTTCTAAACAGATAATTTACACTAACAAACAGCATCACAAGTTCATAATCTGGTGAATATTCAAAACAATGTGAGATACGCGCATAGTTACCAGTAGCTATTTCCAACCAAGACTATGTTAACGCCCATGCATGAACTAAGCCAATTAATGGATTAACTTACATTTCCGAGCTCTCACCTGAACTGTCTTTGACCCATTATTTGCTGAGAGCTGCTCTACTGACTGCAATTGACTCTCTAATTTACTGGTTTTCTCCACAAATGACTGATGGCTGTCATAGAATTGCTTCCTCAGCTGAACATTTTCATGCCGAGCTAAGCGAAGTTCAAGTTGCGCATCCTCTGAAACCAAAATTAACATAAGTTATTATTTTTTTTAGAATCTATCAGAGAATTGTCAATGTCTTAACAGGTCTCAAAATTTAGGAAAGAGAGAACAATCTCGCAAACAACAAAGCTATACCTAGAGCTGCCGCAAGAACTCTGTTATTGTCCCTAAGGGTGTTGTAGACAGATCTCTTGGCCACATCTGTGAAGATAATAATATTATTAGTGGGCCATCATTCCGTATTCCTTAAGGTCATAGGAGGCAGAGCAGGGGGTTCCACACAAAAATGGGGGGGGGGTGTTCAGCCCCCCCACATTTCAGAGCAGAAAATATTGCTAACTAAAAACTAAGACTAAAAGCCTATCTTAGATGCACCATGAAGACCCCCGCCCCCATGTTTCAAATGGTCCGCCACCCCTGAAGGTAGTTTTCATCATAATTTTTTTCAGCCAGTTTATTTGTTTGTTGAGTCTTTACTGCTACGCAAAAACTGTTTGGGGAGGTACATGCCTCACACATCAAAAAGGAAATCAGAGAATCAGCTTTTCAAATGTGGTACTGACAGGGCTTAGCGGGGTCATCATTGGTCATGATCATGGTGTTAAGGGTATGAATTCCCTTGGGGAATGAGTAAGCTTTATGTTTGAAATCTGTTGAGTGCCGAGTGCAATCCAACCAACTATTTGGGTCAATCTGATTCTAAGGCACCTGTTCCCTGCTCTTTTGGCTTCTTAGAACGAGATGAATTTTCATCTGTAGGTAAACACGAGTCTACATCCATGCTCTCTTCCTCTCGTGTAACGGCTATTTCTTTGCCAGACGTCCTTTCGGGTTTCAAAGTCACACTCAGTCTTCGCGTCTAGACCGTAAGGAAAATTACATTAAACGATTTAGAGCATCTCGTAACTGGGAGATAAAAAAATCAAACCAAGCCCATGGTAAAACTATTTTATTTATAATTAGCTTGTAATCTTTAGTTCAATTGCTGTACGCTAAGCTTTATAATTTATAATTTGTTGAAATTTAAGCTCATTACGAAGCAATTGATCAGAAAAGAAATAAAAAACGTTAAATGTATAAGAACATACCTTGGACTTTCTCCTTCTTTTTTTGTTTTCCTGGCTTGCTCTCCTTTCCCTCATTGTGAAAACAAAATAATCCTTTGAACTTGAATAGTCTATTGTAGCTAACTTTCCCAAAGTTTTGAAAACAGCGCCTGACTGCGCCATTTCACACTTGGTAGCCTCGCCAGCCGCTCACCTACGCTTACTTCCGCTCAAACCGGAAGTATAATGGACAGAAAATGAAAAGTACGTAGCACAGGTGGGGTAAAGAGTTCTACTCACAGGGAATAATCCCTCTCGTTGTCTCAAGTATCTCCCATAAATCATTACACTGATGCAATGTTATGGCGCAGGGAACAATCATTCCGCATGAAAAAACGTGACGTTTCGAACGGAAAAAGCGGGTCCGCTAAGCATACATATTAGGCTGTGAGCCCAAATGTGGAGGAATGAGGTAACGTTTATGTCAGTAACACTGCAATGCGCCATAAATTTGGCAAGTGTCTCAATCTTACCATCGTTTTTCCTTCAAATCTCTTTTTATTGGTCAAGAGCGTAAGCGCACAAGAAGCCTGAGCACTACTGAGGCTTTTCGACATTAACGGGGAGGGAAAAAGAAGGAAGTCCTGATAGTCAAGATAGCCTACAAGTCTCTTTCTTTTTTGGTTTCTTGTAATTCAATTACGGATTTCAGCTCCTAACGGTAGAATGCGTAAATCATTGTTTAGGCACCAATGGAAAACGATCACATAGTTCAGTTTTCCTTGCTAATTGATTGACTCAACCTGCTACCAGTGTGTCGCGTTGTTTTTCTTCTAGACGAATTCAGCGATCTTTGACTGGCTTTTGTTTGACGCTACCCCAGTGGCGTTAGTGAGAAAAAATATTGTAAAACTCTTCTGTCTTATACCTTGATTGTTTTCATTTTGAAACTTTATTTCTTTGCGTGATCGCTGACTTCAAAAACCAATACTCTCAAGTACTTGTTTACTCCAACGTCTTTGAAGCCAAAACCTGCATCACGTACGAGGGCGTACATAGCTTAATAGCATAATAGGGTAATTAATCCGCTCTCAGTTTAATTCTTTGACGAATTTTAGATGAACTGTACCTATTATGTAACTATATACTTTTGTACGAAGTTTGATTTAATTTTAGTTTTATTATATTTTTGCACGACCCCACAAGCAACTGAGCTTGAATCTTAATCATGCTTAGATAAAGGTTGTCTGTCTGTCTGTCCGTCTGTCTGTGTGTACATTTAGACCTAACATGCAATCGTTGCTTAGATTCTTGACGTAATCAACGCTGCTTGCTTAACGAATAGTAAACAGGGTTGACGGGTACGAAAATGCCTTACATTCCCACACGTTCGGGGGTTTTTGGCCGTTTTGAAAAGGGAGCAAAAATTGCGTAAAGTCTAATTGTTGAACACCCGAATCGGTGTGAATTGATATTATTACCTCACACGTTAAAACATTTAGATATAGTGTACTTGGAAGAAAGGAATTTTAAAACAATTTCATTTGTCGACTTTCGGTTTCCATTTTTGAAAACTTCTTTGTTCGCAAGCGGAGTCAAGTCTGTTGGAGAAATCACGCGAACCGTCGCGAATGCTCTATCACGCTAAGTATTTAGACACATTTCGTCAATAAAATCTTTTGCCATGTAAATTTTATACCTCAGACTTTTTTGTCAGTTTTTTCTCTTTTTTTGAACGAACATTGTATTTCGTGCAAAGTACGTTTGTCCCCTTCTCAAAGTGGCGAAAACCGCCAACTACATAATCTTACGATGTGTTAATCAAATACCGGGGTCGAATTTAGATATTAAACATTCCCACACCCTAGGCATTCCCCAGGCATTCGACAAGTTGCGTCGCGTTCCGCTTGGCGGAAATCTGACATCATGATCAGTGGTTGATGAATTGAACAAATTAAATCATGATCATGCTGAGGGTGGAAGGAATCCAAGGCCAGACAACACCGTTCTTCGAAATCGTCGCAGATCGTCGTGTTTACCATCTACATCTTCGTCATCATTAGAAACTCTAATCAAATAAATGTCTACTTCACGGTTTTGTTATAGTGGAAGCCCGTTAATACGACCACCTTCGGGCCATGAAAAATTGGTCGCGCTAACGTGGTGGTCGTAGTAAAGGAGTTCTTTAAATAAGAAAATGACTGACTGACCTTTTTTTTTGGGCCAGAATAAAGTGGCCGTAATAAAGAGGTGGTCGTATGAACCGGGTGGTCGTAAGGCGGGGTTCCACTGTACGAGATAATTTACTAAAACATTAAAGTAGAAAGAACAAAAGAAATGAATATTTTCCCGGATGTTGTGCAACTGATTAAAGTTTTTACTGTAAAATTAAATGTGCTGTCTACAGATACAGGAAGTTTTAATACAAATAGAAAAATCACCGAATTTAAGGTCCGAAATTAGAAATTACTAATTCACAGACGGTGTACGTTTTTTAAAATCCCATATTTCGCAATAATCAAATGAATTCCGTCTCCTAGCGGAGTATTGTTGCACATTGCCATAACTTATTCAAAGTGTTGCGCAAACTCAATTTTTACTGGTTCTTTCGTTCCCTTCGAGTAACGCCATGGACAATTACAGTGTGCGTATGTTAGGAGATTAGGGCTTCCATAAGGCTGCTGTTGCAATCTTTCAGGGCTGGGGCCTCGTGTACAGAGCAAAGATATCAGCGGATAAGCCGTAAGGTTCTACCAGAACGAGCAAGAAAGACAGATCAGGGAAAATTAAGGTATTTGGAACTATCCATTATGTAGTTGACCTTTCAGTGACACGACGATCTGTAATCTCTTGTTTATGTGCGTTATTTTAGTGGCCCACTCAACGGGATCTCATTTCATCGACTCCTGTCCAAACGCTGAACTCAAAGAGTCAACAGGAAAAACTGGTTTCATTTTCGAGCGATCAAAAATCTTGGCGCTTACAACAGGAAAGTAATTTTACCACCACATGCGCTGAGGACGGTCCGCACACAGTGCCACAGACGGAGGATGGCTAACCCGAGCGACCAGGGAGAAAATTTTAAGGTGAACGCTGCTTTGAATTGTTTTATAACTTGCTTTCGCTGACATGGATAAAATTTTTACTAGCCTATCGTAGTTGTGTTAGCCTATTTGTCTGGAAATTTAATGGAAGTTTATCATAGTGAGATAAGTCTAATTTGTTACATGATTTATTCGTTATGGGTTGTCTCCGCGACTTGGGCAGAAAACGAAGACGGGATATAATAAGAACGACTGTAAATTTCATGAATTATTGCGGCTGTTGTTGATTAGTGTCCTGTTGGGGAAACAAACCGGAAGGCAGGTCGCTAGAACGCGATGGAACGGAATCATTTTAACCTGCTACCTAGCTATGAAGCGTTACCTTGAATCGCGCTGCATTTTAAACGAGTCTGCTGTTTTCTTTCGCACTCAGCTGTGCACAAAATTTTCTGCGCTCTGACTCGTTCCCGGGAGAAACAAATAGAATTCACTAGATTAACGTGGATGTTATTATTATTTTTACTATTATAAGTTTTTTATGCTTACCTCAACGACAAAAAAACACAAAGCATTATTTTTGCCCTACTCTTATATTTGCGTCCCACTATTTTCTTGTCATCCCTTGCTGTAGGTGCTGTCGACACATAAGGCTCGCGTACGACCCCTTTTCGCAAATTTTTCTTCGGCGCTTACGTACCCATGTACACGATGGAAGTTTGTACATATGTACTCAATATGACGCGAATGAAGTGACAAGTTCAGTCCGATATCTCTAGGAGGTCAAGGCTTGACATCGGAATAATATTTTATTTTGTTAAACAATATACCCGCAATATAGTAAAAGTGTTTCCTTTGCAACGCGCCACGTCTTTCTGGGGCAGCGCGCGCGTGCATGTGTTCCAACCATGAGTGAAGTAAACAAGCTCAAGCCAGCCTTTTTAGGTTTCTTTCTTTTTTATTATTTTTTAAGACCGCAAAGTAAATACTTATTATCGTTGGCTCCAGAAGTAGAGAATCAGTGAAGGCTTCTGGCAATTCTGGGTTTCTGATGTATTAAATGGGTGCTTGGTCCCCATTTTTGAAAGATTTTTGAAGTATTCCTTGTATTTGACTGTTAGCCGAATAAATAATCGTACCTTTTTATACATTTCATATGATACGCTACTTAGGTTGAAAAAGATACCTTTTTACTTAGTTTCGACAGAAACATGAGCAATTTAATTTTTCGGTCAACAACTGAAAATCGAAATTTGCCGGATCCTTTTTCTTTTAGCCTCTTCGATACTTTGTTTAATTTTCTCAATTTTCCTGCCAATAAATTAAAATCAAAATTTGGGACCTCTTTTCAACTTTTTTTTCACTGCGAGTGACAAGTGTTGATAAGTGGCAAGGGGCGCGTCACGCCAAAAGCCAAGAAGGTGACTGTCTTGATCGGTTTATTTTTGAATAATGGATTTTCTGGGAGCTAGTCTAGAGACATTTAGACAGTTTGTTGCTGAAGAAAAGAAAACCCACAAGCGGATAAAGGGTATTCTTTAGGAAAGGTTTCCTGAAGTGAAAAAGTCTTGTGCGGTCTGATCAGTTCAAAGACATTGATCACGTTTTGTTTGTCCCCCCACGTTTTTGGCGTGACAAACGCTGGGATCGGAAAGACAAGCAANGGGGTCATCATTGGTCATGATCATGGTGTTAAGGGTATGAATTCCCTTGGGGAATGAGTAAGCTTTATGTTTGAAATCTGTTGAGTGCCGAGTGCAATCCAACCAACTATTTGGGTCAATCTGATTCTAAGGCACCTGTTCCCTGCTCTTTTGGCTTCTTAGAACGAGATGAATTTTCATCTGTAGGTAAACACGAGTCTACATCCATGCTCTCTTCCTCTCGTGTAACGGCTATTTCTTTGCCAGACGTCCTTTCGGGTTTCAAAGTCACACTCAGTCTTCGCGTCTAGACCGTAAGGAAAATTACATTAAACGATTTAGAGCATCTCGTAACTGGGAGATAAAAAAATCAAACCAAGCCCATGGTAAAACTATTTTATTTATAATTAGCTTGTAATCTTTAGTTCAATTGCTGTACGCTAAGCTTTATAATTTATAATTTGTTGAAATTTAAGCTCATTACGAAGCAATTGATCAGAAAAGAAATAAAAAACGTTAAA